ACATGGAAGAGACGACGGCGGTGATGACGGAGAAGCGTTGAAAGATTTTGGTGCTGGATTGAAAATGGAAGAAGAAGAAAGCCAAGAGGAAGAAAAGGGAGGCTATAACGAAAGTTCGTCTGAATGATTTTTTTGTGAAAATGGTTTATATAACAATTTGATGCTTTTAATTCTTTTTATACATTTAGATTGAAAGAAATTTCGTTTTAATGTATTATATTTTGCATTGAAAATTGTTATATTTTATTATACATTAATGATGAACTATGTAATCAATCTATAATTGAATAAAAATAATTTTTTTAATTATTTGTTTTTTTTAGAAAAAGATTTATTGTTTAAAAATTGGGCAATAACATATTTATTTCTTTTTGAAATTATAAATGCATTTTTGTCGTTTATGAACTTAACATAATTATATTAAAATAATTTTTTTACCATTAATATTAAATTGCCTAAAAAAACACTTTGTTTTTTTTTTCTAAAAAACGCACTAAAAATATACGAATAATTATTATAAAAATACCAAAATATATATAAGTTTAGAAAAAAGCACATTCTGCACCATAAATTTATAAAACAATAAATATATAGTTGAACTACTAATTAATTATGTTGACTGTTTTTGTGTTGTTTACACTAGTTCTCAGTCTCCGAACATGTAATAACCCGTTTTGCACTTCTTGTTCTAACAATTCATCTGTGTGTACTGAATGCCTTGGAGAGTTTATTTTGCAAAATGGCATGTGTGTCTGTTTGTTTGTAATAACAATAATAATAGAATGTAATTATAATAATGTTAAAAAATTGAAAATATACGACACTCCATGACGGGTTTATTTACAATTTGTGCTTATCAATTACTTTAAATTATGATAAAATTTAAACATTTTAAAGCAAAAATAATCATGTTATTATTATAATTTATAATTTTAAGTTATTTATTTATCAGATATACAACTTACAAAATAGACAAACAAGAAAATCACTGTGCAGAAGTCAAATTATCGAAATGTACACGATGTGAGGTTGGATATACTTTCAACTTTAATACACACAAATGTGAAGGTTTGTTATTTTATTATTGGTGGAGATAATCACACTAAAAATGTAATAGAATAGTATAACTAATAACTAATACAATACTAATTATAAGTTGGTTTAAGTACATGTGAACAATTTAACGACTACGAATGGAGTACCGGATGCACCACATGTAGTTTAGGATATATGTTGAAGAATGGCATTTGTAGTAAATGTGATGCTAACCCACATTGTTTGACATTTGAAGGGAATTGTAATACATGTGGCGAGTGTATTCCACAATTTTACTTGAAGAATGGCATATGCACATCAGACGATTTCAACTGTGAAGAGTACAACGAGAGTGGTGTCTGTTTGTCATGTACATCTGGGTATTATCTTGACGCTACAAAGAAGTGTGTTTTGGGAACTGTTGAGAATTGTGATTATTACAACTCAGAAGGGAAGTGCTTATATTGCCTTGACTCATTTGTTACTGATGTGACAACTAAAAAGTGTGTTAAAGAAATTGATGTCAAACCGACGAATTGTGAGTTGATGATTCGAACCGATTATTGCATATCTTGTGTGAATGGGTACTATTGGGACAAACAAATTTTGGAGTGCAGAAGATGTGAAGATGGATGTGCGCAATGTGACGACAAAGATAGTTGCAGTGTATGTGAAAATGGGTATGGAAAAGACCTGTCGAGTGGTGGATGTTTTAGTTTGTTTATGTATTGATTATAAAAAAAGCGAGATGACACAAAGAATGTAGTGATGGATGTAACAAGTGTATGAAGTTTGGAAGTGGTGAAGTTGAGTGTGTAGAATGTTATAATAATTATTATTTAAATAACTACACTTGTTTCAGTTTGTTACTTTTGTTTTTAAGTTTCTTGCTGTTATAAATGAATGAGATGTAATGTTATGTATACTTTTGTATTTATAATTACACCCAATACAATACGTATGATCATGTAGTGAATTAATAATTGTATACAAAAATACACATGTATATCAACAAATATCCTCATATTTTATTTGTAAACGTATGTACAATTAAATCAATGTTATACAAACTATTAATTACACAGCAAATCCATATACGAAATACACATGCAATAAAACGGCCGAATCACAGACAATTTGCAGTGCAACAGATTCACAATGTTTATACACACAAATATCCTCTTCATATTCCACTTGTTCATATAAAGGTACGAATTGCACACAATGGAATTCGATGAATGAATGCATCGAGTGCTTCCAGGGTTACACAGTCGACCCTCAAAATAAAGAGGCGTGTATCAATTCAAATCCAATATGTAGTACATATGATACACTAGTGGGCACAACAGAGAATATAACAGTTTGTGTGGATTGTATGTATGGATACTTCCTCAACACAGAATACCAATGCGAAAAGTGTGACGATGTCTGTGACGGTAAATGCACTTACAAAGCAAACATGTGCGACGTCTACCAATGCGACAATACACTTTGTACATCATGCCCCAATGGCGGTGCGACATGTGATATTTGTTTAGATGAGTATTCAGCGGAAGACAACTCATGTGGTCCAAATATATGTACTTCTATGCGATATGATGGTGTATGTAGTGTTTGCACATACCAAAGTGATGATGAGACATACTCTTACCTTCCCGATAGTCAGACTGGGCACTGCAAATCAAACAAGAAAGTCGAACAAAAGAAAGGGAGTAAAGGGGGTATTATAGCTGCTGTTATCATCGGTTTGTTGGCTTTGGTCGTCATAATAGCAATATTATGTTGTTCTGCAGTGTATATTTACAGAAAGAAGAGAAAAACAGCAAACAAAGACGATACTAAGATTATGGAAACGGAACTCCTTCCAAACATTAAAACAAATGAAGAGTTTTGATGCTAAGTCATTTTTACGACCTTTTCAATTTTTGATTTCAGGACTTCAAAATTTGACCACTAAAATTTGACAATGTCGAAATTTGACATAAAAATTGAATTACTCGAATTCGATTGTTTTTGTCTGTTTGTAGTCATCGTCGAGTTCTTCCTGAGCGATGCGAATGGTGTCATCGTCGTCTTTTTCTTCGACATTTTCAAACACATCGAAACCCTTATTTATAAGACCCACCTCCACAACATCAATAGCTTCTAATTTATCAAAACGAGTTTTCTCATCGATCCACTCGAGAAGAGTATACTTTCTTTTACTCTCAATTCTTGGATTTGTGTTTGTCTTTAATAAAGTTAATGGCATTTCATTCTCCGCTAACACTTTCTCGTCTTTCTTCACTGATATTATAACGGAGTACGCTAATAAAAAACCTTCTTGTGTTTTGAATGAAGCGGGCACTTTCTCTGTCGGTATAATCATATTGAACAAAATGGGTTCTTGTGGCTCAGGGACGCCTTGTAAAATATCTATTGAACAAACAGTCTCGACGTTCTCTGCTTGGTTCTTATCGACAACAAAAATCTCTTTTTTCACTAATTTCATTTCAGTCACATCAAAGACATTGACCGAAGGATTGGGACTCTCGACTCGTATCATCCCATGGATAACATCATTCACATTGTAACACGTCGAAACTATCCCAAATGACATCATAACTGGTTGAGCAAAAGTCACTTCATAACTCTTTTTAAATGGGGGTGGCGCATTGTAGAATATAGCTATGTCGACATCCTTGACCGTTTTCGAAAACGAAGTCCGTGTTAATGTCGTCCGAATAAAATATCTGATACGACCAATAACACCAAAGTAGGTGTCATACCGTTTCACTGTGTCATCAGAACGATCTATTCGACCAAATGTAAATGAGTGGACGTGATCCCCTATCTCAAAAACACGTGAAGCACATATGTCAATACTCTTCCGTAAGAATTCCTTCTTACAATTCTGAGAATCAGACTCTGTGTGTTATTGTTTCAATTGTATCCATTTCCAAGACTTAGTACTAGTAGGTATTATTAATTTTACTATATATGGTGGTTGTTAGAGTATACACCAAAGCTGTATCATATTTATTAGTATATTTTATTATACTATATAACACTTCAAAATGTATCGAAGAAAATTAAATATTTAATTGTTCAAATAAAATGTACTATACTTGATCGATTTAAAAGGTTAAAATACTTTTATCTATTCTGATAAATTATAATACTATAAATGTATTATAATGTAATATATTTGATAATAATTATACAATGTATTATACAACAATTATTATAAAATTAATGAATATGGTACAAAAACATACCTATCACACCAATAAGCTCCATCCTGACGCCTTGACACTCGCAGCGCTTATTTGAAACGGAAATGTAAAGTGAGCCGTAGAGGAACTCTCCTTCTAAAAAAGTTGAAAGAAAAACGTTTTGTCCGTTTGGGGTTTGAAATATCATTTTTTTGTTGTGTTCCTCATCAAAGGCCAAAACGAGGTTGATTGTTGGAGACGAGAAAAAACTCTTTATGTCAAAACGAGTAAATTTGATGTTAAAACCAAACCATTCTTGTTTGAAATTTTTCGTTTTTGTTTTTTTGTTTTTATAATTTTTGAATTTTGTTATTCGAAAATAAAATTTTTTTTTTTTTTAATTTAACTCAAAATCAACATTTATAGAACTATTTAAAAAATCAGAGAAATGTTTTAAGTAAATGTTTAATTTGTGTTTGTTAATTAAAAATATCATACTTTATGATTTTGATAGATTGTTGTAAGTAATGAAAACGTCATTTTGATATTTTTTTTCTTCACAATCTTTTATTAAATAAAAAAAGTATATATTTTAATAACAAAATCAAAAATAATAGTTACTCTCAAAATGACAACCAAGATTGGAATAAAGCACTGTTAAAGAAGTTAAAATGGAGAGCATAAAGAGTGGGTGGTCATCATTGAAAAACACTGTAAGAAACACAGTAAATGGCCCACCTCAGCAGGAGGAGGACTACTTTTCTAAAAGTTGGTTCGACACGTTGGTCGGTGGTGACGACGACTCGTGCTGCGCGAAGTGTAAAATTCCCTTTACTGTTCGAATCACGATCGTTGGTATATTGGTGCTGCTGGGTGTCATTGCACTATTTTTGTCGTTTTCATTCATCGTCCTCCCAATGAAATTCGCCAAATTATTCACTGCTGGAAACGTTTTGATTCTTGCTGCGTCGTTCTTTTTGAGATCATTTTCCGCACAGATTAAATCATTGATGGAGGACAAGACCAAGCTGATCGGACTTGTTTTGTACATCACATCGATTGTTCTTGTATTGTTTGCAGCCCTTAAACTCAAATCGTTTTTTGTGACAATTCCCTGCGTTATTTTCGAGATTATTGCTTTGCTGTGGTACTTATTTTCGTACATCCCTTATGGTCAGGAGATGCTCAAGAAGTGTGGAAGCTGTTTGTTATCGTCGTGTTTCAAGGGAGGAGAGTAGTAATTCAGTTATTGTTGTGTTATTGATATTCTTATTAACACAAGTAATGTATTTATTCTTGCTATAATATTGCTATAAAATCATTGAAATTTAATACATATTTTATTAACTATTTTTGGTTTAAAAGTGTGAAATTTATCTTTGAAAAACAAAAAATAGTTATCAAATATGTTGTTAGCAAAAGCACTCAATTTTGTAATCAATTGATTTCGCCTGAAAATGCATTTCATTAAAATCAATTATTTGTTATAATGAATTATTAATAGTAAATATAATTTATAATGTCCAGCACTTTTTTCATGTTTAACACTTTTCAGTGTCATACAAGACAATCAAAACGAGTACAATCGTGATGATTTTAATAAAAGCGAGTTATTCAGAATGTTGAACCAATGATTTTCAACACGTTCTTAATAAGAGAGAATCATGCAATCAATGAGTAATTGGGTTATGATAGAATAAAAAGATAAAAAAATGAAAGTGAAAAATAGAGATCTTTCGAAGATAAAATAGTTTAACTGCATAATCGGCAATTTGTTTGTTTTTTTCGAAGTCTCCCGGAACATTCCAACCACTTATCATTACTCAACACTTTTTTTATTTTTATGAATTGAAATGCCAACTTGTTTTTGATTGAAACGCTTTGTTTAGATTTTTTAACCATTTCATGTTGTAGACAATTATTATCTACATAATCGGGAGATTATCTCTCATTAATCAAAACAAAAGATTAGAAAAGAAACAAAAAAGTCCAATTTTAGTCTTTTTTAATTAAACGACATTTCCCGACTTTTTATTCAACGTCTACATAAAATAAATTCAAAAAATAACAAAGAAAAAATACAACTTTTTTGTTCTTTAGTATTTATCAAATTCTGACGGTAGTGTTTAATTCAAAATGCGTCAATTCCTCTGCAAAAATCGCACAAATCCCGAAAAACGCGTTGAAATGGCTTAAAAATTGACATGAAAATTAATGCTTATGAGGAAAATGAATTGTTTGGTGAGGAAGAGGACTTTTGTTCCAAAATATTACAATGAACTTCGCACAACTTGAAACACTCAAAATTAACTAGAAGAATGAACCACAATTTTGACGTACAGGAAAAGCTCGAGAGTATATTGGAGGTGTCACTGTACCGCACAGAATTAGAAAAGACACCTCGGAGTCCACGCATCAAAGTGACTAAAGTCATCACTAAAGCACAGAATTTAACAAACGATTTGACTTTTGACGAACTTGATTCTGAAGGAAGAGATTCGATTGACATTTATCAAGTGCATCACTTCCTTGAAACGTCATCTGTTGATAAGAAGCCAATTTATTTACTTATTAAAGATGTGAGACAGATATTGAATGAAATGTCCCTCTCGAAACCCTACTGTGTCCAACGAAGTGAATTCAATTTGTTGCTCAAATATATCAAAGACAATCAACCCACACTCGAAGCGATGTCTTTGGACAACTCTCTCTCGAAGAGATACGCAGCTTTGTATATAGCCCCAACCATTTTCTGCTTCATGAAAGGGCAGAGTTATATGTTTGGAGAATTAAGAAAAGAAGAAGTAATTTGTGAAGACAAATATCATATGGCTGTGAAGGAGATGATCTTCGCATTACCAGAAAAAACTCCTCAACAACACATGTGGAAAACTATATTGCCAGACTCTTTTTTCAGTTCAGAGGAATTTCAAAGGGTTCTTGTTCGCCCCTCTAAAACCTCTTTGTTACGGAATTCACACCAGAATGTCATTCCTCCACAAATCTTTTTCGAAATGTTTGCGCCCAATTTTCGGTTTAAAGACCACGCCAATTTACTGGCAGGCGTTCATTTTCTCACAGAAAGTCAAAGGACTTTGCCGGAATCATTTTGTTTGCGAATTAAAAATATTAACATTGGTGGGGACGTACCACCCGAAACGTTACGATATGTTGGAGCAATATACGACCAAAATTCACAAGAGAAGTTGACTGAGAATTTTGTGATGGAAAATGAAGGGGAGACTTTTAACGTCTTTTTCCTGACAAATCAGGTGAAAGGGAGCCAAGTGATTTTAGTCATCGACGTCTTAAGACGAGCCGGTGAAGATATCCAAACAGCAAGAGAGTTGTATTATAAGGGATTTGAAGATAAGAAAGTGAGAAAGAAATATACCGAACGGAAGTGTTGGGCGTATTGGCAACATTTGATGTTTGGGTACGCCAATTTGAAAGATGATTTCGAGAAGGAGAAAGGGGAGGAACAAATCATTTTCTTTAAGAGTGAATCGGAAAATGAAAGCATTTGGGAAATTCTGGAAAATGAAGAAAATCGAAAAAAAGCCGAAATGAATGCTTCCCTTTTCTTTAATAAAAACAACGAAAATGTACAATGGAGGTGTGGAATGAATATATGGAAAAATCCACGGTCTGAGGGGGGACAAACTCTGTGTGACAGCAACAAAAGTAAATGTCAAGACTTTGAGAAACAACCACTCAAAAATGGGCAAAAATCAGATGTCGAACCACCGAAACTCATACGTGTTTTAGACAACCTGCGCTATATAAAAAGCACCGAGGAGATTATCTTCGATTTTATCAATCGCCTTTACATCTACCCTCTCGACGTTTCTTTCGGTAAAGACAAAAAGAAGAAGACAGCGATATGCATAACTTTTCAAGTCTATTACAACAAAGTAACAGAAAATTGTATATACACTCCTTCAGGGAGTCTCGACTCTAATTACTCTTCAAATCTCTTAGTTGGGAAGTCCTTTGGCACATTTGATGAGATCAAAATAGAGCTTCCCTTCCCTCTTAAAAACGGCCACTTTCTCGTCTTCACCATTCAAGAAATAGCCGATGGCAGTGTGAAAAAGGAGTCTTTCTCTATTCTTACATTATACACTGATAACCACATCAACTTCCAATACGGAAAATTGGTCCTCCCCATCTACTCAAGTCTCGAGGAGGCATTGGCACCCCCTCAAATACCAACAAAGAAATGGCTAACAGTATTAATAACACCATTCACGACAATATACCCAACTACTCCAGAAGCACATCTTTCTTTAGTTAATTTCTTGGAAGGGAATTTAGACCAAAATTTTAAAAATATCCCACTGATAGATACTATCCACTTTTTGCCTGTTATTCTCCAAACGTTTTTAGAGTCGAATACCGTGAAAAATATTGAAGTGTTGGCTTTGTTAATGAAAACGGTGTGCGGACATACAAATTCATCACAAAAGAGAAATTGTATTGTCGAGTCCTTTGTCCATAAGTTTTGCGATTTCAAAAGTAAAGAGACGGAGACGAACTTAATTAAAGCACTGATCATTTTATATAAGTTTGATGACACAACTCCACAAACGGAGATCTTAAAACACTCGTGGCTCCCTTTTGAAATATTGAAGAAGTCGATCTCGCAAATTGGCGCAGACCAAAGTTTCTTCCAAAACCTATTAAACTTCGCGACGAGTTTTTCGAATTGCATTCGGTCACATATCATGAAAAAGGAAATTTTGGGTGTTGAAGAAGGCAACGCACATTTCTCGTATTTCATTCGTTCAATTCTGGAATTGGGGTATAATTCGGAAGCAGTCACTTTAATGGAAGAATATTTGAATAAACTGACTTGGCCGTATGACGTCTTAGTTCGTGGGAAGAAATACACCCAAGACCAACCCGAGATGGTTGCTTTAACACTGTTGAAAACGCAGTTTCTTGCTGTTTTTGAGAGCAGTTTAAGTCTTTACGAGTCGTCGAATCCTGGGAATATAGATACAAGTGATATCACTATGTTAGATGATTTGTTGTGGGTGAGACACTTACCTATTGCATTCTTGATGAGACAACACTTGTTTCTGCTGAATAAGAACGAAGAAATTAATCGAGCGTCCCTCTATTTAATGGTTGGAATGGTCGAAAGACTCGACTTGGACTCGACACTGCAAGGAGAGAAGAAAGAATGCGTTGCTGCTATGTTCCTTCCTTTTGTCGTCCAATTCATTGAAAGCTTCGAGGACTTCGCGACGTGGAAATTCATTAAAAACACAGAGAAAGTGAATAAAGAAAAGAGCTCCCATTTACTGCGAACGATGGGAGAAAGGTCGATGACTCGAGTGCCTATCAAATTAAAGGAAATGAATGTTGAACTAATGACGAGTGACACTTTATTACTGAATTCAAGAGAAAAGAAAATTGTCGAAACGCCACTGCAGAACATATTTGATATTGAAATGCTCGGATTGATCTTTGTGTGGGTACTTAAAAACTTGAAAAAGGAGGTCTTAGTCGAGTGGATCAAAAATGAAGTTCCTTCGCGGTTACAAATACTTGTGAATATATTAACACGTTATATCTTACTCTTTTCATACTTTCCTATAAACGAGACTATCGATGTCTATGAGGAGGTTGATCGGAATATTAAGTTGATAGTGAATGGACTGAAAGAGCACGGGTACTTTTTAAATATGAACTTGTCACTCTCCTCCGCGTTTTCAGAAGACTTGTTTAGCCCAAAAAGTAACAAATTCTCCATACCAATCAGTCGAAGTTTAAGACTGATTAGAAGGGATGACGAACAACACGAGAAGTTACATCAAGTACTTGGAAGGGAAATAGTAAGAGAGTGCCTTGAAGTGTATCACTTGATATTTAATTCTTTGGTCAACCAAGAGGCTATGGAGCATCTTGAGATAGTCAAAACAAATATAGCAACAAAACTCCTCGAAGAAAAAGTGGTGAATGATGACATCTTCACATTCATCAAGAACTTGTTTGTTGAACACAAGAAGTACATTTTTTTGCGGGAAGTGAAGAGTTTTCGATGAAACTGATGAACTCGTTGATTCCGAATGTTTCAGTCTGATAACAAGGAGATCAGAAGGAGAAGTGTCGAGATGATGTGCTTATATACAAAATATAATTATATCCAATCGGGCAACATATTTAGGAGTATTTCACTGATAACAACTGGCATTGTAGAAGTCAATGAAATGAACCGAATTTGTTTTGATTCGTGTATTTCTGCGTTACATGAGCTTCACAAAACGGATATTAAAAGCATCACTACCAGTGTGGTGGATATTAAAAGAGATTTGTTGACACCAAATATCCAAAATTTGAAGAACAGAAAATTAATTATACGAACAGAAACACTGGGAGATATAGAAGCACTTTGTATCGTCCTTTTAGACTTAATTGCTATTAGACTTGATACGTTAAAATTCCTCAGTGAATTCAAATCAACACCTGTCAACAAGTATTCCAGAATGATTGAGACTGTTGTTGGAATACCATTTATTATCAACGAGAAGGTGCTCAACAATTTGGAAACAAACTTGATCAAATACGACGATTTGAGTGTCTACAAAACAGTCTCGAAAATCATGAAGAATTTGAAGACCAAATTTAAGGAAGTAAAATTGATGGAGACAAAAATGTGTGAAACTGCACAACGGAATAAAGAATTGGAGTCGCAGACAAGTAAACTCTGTGAAGAGACTAAGGAAGAGTGTTTGAAAGGGATTCGGTGGGTATTAAATATGTTTGTCACATTACCACTTGATATTAAAAACGCAGGACTTAATTATTTGACGGCTCGAAATCGGAGTGAAAAGTACACAAAAGAAGCCGAGGAACTAAAATCGACTTATAGAAAGCGTCTGCAAATTCTTGAGGATAATCCTTTATTTCCAGTTTCTTTTGTTGAATACGAGGAAATTGTGAACGACTCGTTAAAAGTGAGTATTAAATATCATGAAGTGTTGTACGCCATAGCAAAGAATATGAAGATGTGTATAACTGAAGACAAACGTATTAATACTGAAAATGGGCAACAGATGTCCTTACTGCAAAAGCTCTATGAAGATCTTTTATTTAACTTGGATAAAACCAACTCATTTGAAAAGTCCCAAAAGTTGAAGACAATGAGTTTTCCAAAGGAAATTCCGTTTGACAAGAACTTGAAAAGTTTGAGCTTCTCGTGCTTTAATTTGTTCATTGAAGTAGTGCCTTTGATTGTCAAAGTACTTCAAAAGATCGATAAGATAGTCGAGAAGACAAGTAATAACCAAATGAAGCTTGAGGGAGCCGAGAAGTGGTTTGAGTTGGAGAGGGGGTATATCACTTCTGTTATTCAATTGAAAGAACAGGACAACGCAATCAAAGTTGTGACTAAAACGCCGATGCATGAGTCTTCTGTGGTGATCTTTGTGATGACTGATATCATCAAAACGTTGATAACTGATGGGAAACTGTTTAAAGAGAAGGTGAGTAAAAGTGTAGAGCTTCGGGGAACGTTGAAACGGATTCTTTTTGAAGAAGCATCAGGGAGGAGTAGAAACCCAACAAAGAGAAGAATTACACGACGGTCGTTGCGTGTTGAAGATAAGACTCTTCGGAGGATGACAGTCGCGTATAATTTGGATAACGATGAAAAGGCGTTTGGGTGTATAGAAAATGAGAATGAAATGGTTTGGAAGTTTCTTGAAGATATAGCGAGTGAGGGGAGTAAAGTAGAGAAGATGGTTGAAGCCCTCAGTCAGAAATACACAAGTTGTAATGTGAAAGAAAAAGAGCGGGAGACGTACCGAGAGCGTGTAAAGGCGTTATGGGAAACATATCGAACGACACACTTTGGGAATTTCAGTGCATTAAAAGAATTTTTGATTAAAGAAGTCGACGAAGATGTTCCATATGATGGAGACGTCGTGTTAATTCCCGACGACAAAGTCGAAGAAAAAGAAGGAGGAACAATGAAGAGTGACGTACAAGAGAATGCATTGCCCATCGACGCAAAAATAGAAGGCAAGAAAGAAGAAGTGGTGAGCAAAAGAGTGACTCGAGCAACAAAAGTGACTAAACGAGACAAGGTCGTCTCTCTTGTAGAAGAGATGGTTACGGGCAATCTTGACTATAATAAAATGCAAAAGCCGAAGAAGTTTGCGACCCAGAAACTTAAAGTTGAAGTGGTAGAAGTGAGTATTCCACAAATCAACTCGTTGCTCCAAGAAGATTTAATAACAGAGAAAGGTACCTTTGTAGAAGACTCATTTTTGGACTTGAACCTCTATAAAATATCACAGTATGAACTCTCAATGAAAAACTTGAAGAAAGAGGTCCGACAGTTGATGACCAAACATACTGAATTGAATGAAATACAACAAAAAGCAAGAGACCCTGATTCATACACAGAACGATTGTATACATTTGCCTGTGGATATTCGGAAACGCCAAGACTGTATTTGAAGTGGGTGGAAAAGATGGCAGAGGAACAAGCGATACGGCAAAATTATTTGGAAGCGGCACTTGCAGTCACAAATTTGGTCATTTTTGTCTCACATTTTTTAGAAGGAGGAAAGATCTTTGAAAAGATTCGCAAGATCTCCCCCGCAGACTTCTCGAGTTTCTCAAGTTTTGGGAAGTACGAAAAGGTGGAGAACAAGAAGTTTGATGAGGTGATGAAACAAGAAGAGATTGAAGGATTCAATCAGAGTTACCTTCTGAAATACGTCGACTCTGCAGTGAACTACTTTATGATGAAAAAGGCATATGGGTATGCTGAATACCTTCTTGAGGCCACGGTGGAGTACTTAGTGTCACAAAATGAAATCGTTCGTCTGCAAGAAGTTCATAATAAGATGAGAAATGTGTATGACCAAATGTCAAAGAATAAAAGCTTTGACACACATTTTTATTTGGTTGGATTCTTCGGGAGTGTCTTTGAGAAGATGAACGAGAAGGAGTATGTCTATCACTCGTCGTTACCAAAAGATATTTTTACTATAGAAATTAAAGGGATTGTACCTTTTGAAAAGAAGAAGGAAATCATTGAATTGGGTGAGACGGACAAAACAAGTGGGTTGCCTTTGGATCAGATTTATATCAAAGTTGTTGAAGTCTATCCGATGAAAGAAGATGGTGAATTTTGTTCGCAAGTGTTTAAGAACGAGTTTTTAGTCAAAAGTGGGCAAGAGACGTATAAGCGTCGTATCGTGTACGAAACAGCCCAACCCCTTCCATCACTTATACGTCGTCAAATCATCATAAATAAACAGTTGGATATCTACATGAACGCTATTGAAACGTCTTTGGACGAAATCGACGAGATGTCCGCAGCACTCAACAAAGCGACTATTCCACCTATAACGGAAGAACTCACAGAAAAACTTAAAGTTGTTTTGCTTGGCGAAAATGGTCCAATATACGCAGTCGAGAACTTTTTGGGGAAGAAAATAGAGGAGTACCCACCCGAACAAATCAGCGAAATGTGGGAACTGATAGCAACACTTTTGGATAACATCAAAAACGCACTCCCCGTCCATTTGAGAAACTTCCCCACTCATCCACTTACTTCACAATTTTCAAACGCTTTTAGGAAGCTCAAATTTATTGTGAATGATGCGCAAATTAATGTTCAAAATGTTGTTGGCGTGCTTGCGTTCAGTTAAAGTACACACCAAAATACTCACGTGGGTAAAAATGTTGGAAATCATTCAATTTCATTTTCTTCTGTGGTATTGAAACAGTGGAATCAACTTCACTTGTTATTGTCTATTGGAATTATATTTTGTAGATATAATATAGTTGTTTTAGTATTGTTGTAGTTCTATTGAATTGTAGTTTGAGTTACTAGCGTCACTCGTTAATGTCTCAAAATCTGTCGGAATCTACTTTTTTGTATTTGCCTTTGATCACACTTTTGGAACGATTTTCTTATCCAACAACCATTTGATAATAAAAAATAAATAGTTTTAATATAGTTTAAATCAACAAAAACATTTTTTGTTGATTTTTGAGGTTTTGATTTCTGAAAGATATGGAACGAAAAAGAAGGAAAAAATGAACATTTCCAATTTTTGTTTATAAAAACAAAATTAAGAAATACATATTTTTTGTTTTTTTTTGCTCGGAAAAAGCTCTTAATTTTGCTTTTGTTCAGTTTAAGGTTATTGATGTGATTTACGAATTGCCAGTCAAGTCAAAAATGGAAGAAAAACAAAACTAAATTCATGTGACTTTTCTAGTAAGTCACAACCCCAATAATGCGGGAAGATATCATTTTTTTGTCAAAAAGACGGAAAAAGTCAAAGAAAAAAGTTTGTTTTGTGAACACCAAATCGACGGATTTGGTTGATAAAGATATTTTCATTTACTTAAAAAAACAGAAGATGGCAGCGTCAGAGGAAACGGATCATTTGAATGGTTTGTGGCAAACACTTGTAGATACCCCGGGTGTTCCGTCACACAGTGTTGTGAAAGAAATTATATTATTGCCCTCGACACCACAAGACGGGGAGAAATTGACCGACTTAATTGTGAGATCACTCTCTTCTTCCGACAAAAAGGTCGTTCTGAAAGTGCTTTACATGGTGCATAAGATGCTTCGGTCTCCTAACTTTTCCTTTGAAAATTTGGGGCTTACAGGATTGATATCTTGTTTGGAGCGAATTCGACTTTTTTGGATGAATTATGAAGATTCACAAGCACTTTCTCTTTTAGTCATCACATACAGTGAATACGTCTGTAACCGTCTTGAGATGGCAAAGAGTTTGCCAAATCTCGACCGAACTACTTTGACTTTCAAAGAGTCTCCACCTCACAACGAAGTCGAGAAGTTGGTAACAAAGCTCTTTGGTGTTCTTGACTCGTTTATATTATGCATTCAAACTCTGGAGAAAAACATCGACTTCATCAAGCTAGAAATCATCACTGAGATGCTCAGAGAAGGAAAGCTGCTTTACACGTTGTGTAAAGACCTTTCGATTGAAATTTACAAAAAGGCTGAAGATGACGAAATGGCGATGTTCTGCGTTGAACGACTTAAAGTCAATTTCTGTGAGATGGGGCGACTTTACAGCGAGTTTTACATGTCACCATTCATCAAGGCTCTTGTTAGTGAGGATCTTGGAAGGTTTCCAGAATTTGAAAAAATCGAGAAGTGTAAGACTGGAAGAGGAGATGTGTATATAGACGTGAAGTGGAAGGACGTCATGAGAAATTGGTTTGAGTTTCATCGATACGCGAGTGACGAGGAAATAAGAAAAGTTGAGGAAAAAGCAATACAATTTAGTGTAATGTCTGAGCCCATCACGCCACGGAAGAGTGAAGCAATGAAAGTGAAAAGTATTGAACAAATCACAAAGGTCAAGACGATAACAAGTGAGTTATCAAATATGTATGAAGGTGTCGGTAAATTCCGCAAAGGAGAAGAAAGAAATAAGACGGAGAAAGCTTTAGCGAAACAGTACAAACGGATCATTGGAAGACTTATTGCATTGAGTGAATGTGTCTATGAAGTCCTCAAAACATCCGATGAGAAATGTTTTGCTGACTCGAGTGAAGATCTTCGTAAAAGTGTTGAGTTGGGCTGTTTAAGTAAGATGGAACGTCCATTGAAAAACGGAATTTGTCACCTTGAAAAGATTAAACAGAAAATGGGCGAGATGGTCAATAACTTGTATAGTGGGAAAGTCGATTGGAACGTCATTTCGAATGAAGTCAAATGTATCAATGGTGAAGCGAAAAATGTTGCGAACTTTGTGTTTGCCAATTTTGGGGAAGAAAATGAATTGACACAGAAGACCGACAATGTTGTGCAAACCGTTGTCTTGTTATCAAAAGACTTGTCTGTTGAAACATATTCCGATGTCTTGTTGAAAAGAAACGTTTCAAAAACTACTTTGACTATTAACGAGAAACAAAAGAGTGCTAAACAAGAAGAACAAAGCCAAAAGAATAAATTGGGTGAAATCAAATTCAAAGGAAGAAATGTGTGAAGATTTGAAATTGCTGTTTTTAGCTTTTGTTTAATTGTTGAATTTGATTAATTAAATACTAATGTATTAATAATAATAATTATTATTATTAATATCTATTATATTCTTTAGAATTAATAATATCTAGTATTTTATTATGTAATTAATCATTTAAAAATCATTTCAAAATTTTAAATAATTTCGACACAAAACAATTATTATTTTATTTTGTATAATAATTTATTATTAATAAGTTATTCAATTTTTAAACTCATTTTAATACAAAACCACTTTTTAAAATATAGAAATTGTTTTTCTTACTATTTTTTGAATGACATTTCTCTGTAAAAGGTGAAGTATCGTGTTATTTAAAAACATTAAAAAGAATGGATGGCTTGACTTGATATTTAAAGATTTCAAAAACACTCAAATACAAATTACAAATGAAACAATTGGATGGGTACTCAATGATGATTGTCTGTAAATACTTAAAGCTGTTCCGCGATGTTAGGAACTTGGTTTTGGTTTCTAAAAAGAACAGTGAACTCCCTTTAAAATTCCATTTCAATCCGATCTCAGTGACTCAGAAAAGTCGGAAATTCTTCCCAAAAATGCAAACCCAATACTTATATACTGCAAATGATGAAATCATTGAAAATATGGATAAGTATATAATAACATATCCTATAGATGTGAAGTACGTCTTAAATCCTACCTTGTTGAAAACCGAAAAAAAGATCACAACAGACAATATCAAATATGTGAATGTATGCCTCACACAAACAATCCCAACACACCAATTGATGGAACTAAAAATCTCGAAATTTGCTGTGGATGTCCCAAAGGATTTGACAGATTATTCACCATTAAACTACGCAACGAGGCTGTGCCCGTCATTCTTTGCTTATAACTCATTGACGAGTTTTAAGTTCCCAAACACAATGAGGAAGTTTGGCAAAGAACTTTTCAGTGGATGCAGCCAACTTGTCGAAGTTGACTATGCATATTCGAGTGGAACAATTAAGGAGAGAACATTTAGTGGGTGTCATGCGCTTAGAAGAGTCAAATTATCACCGTTTAATTCTTTGAGGGAATTGACGCTGATTGATATAAAGGTTGTGAATGTCAGTGTCAATGGAAATGAGATATATGGGAGAGTACCCTACAGAATATTTAAGACTATGAAGAATGTTGTTTGTAATGAGGTGTTCTTTGGAAAAGAAGACTACATGAAAGGCGAGAAACAAATTCCAGACGGCGTGGTGTCTATTGAGTGTGGGTGCTTTAATTGTTTATATGACTTGAAAGAAATGAATATACCAGACAGTGTGACTGAAATTGGAGATTGTGCATTCCATAGGTGTGCCGCACTCACAAGAGTAAAGGTGTCCAAAAACCTTAAAAAGATTGGCTGGATGGCGTTTGGGTTTTGCGAAAAGCTTACAAATATTGAATTTCCACCAAGCGTCAATACAATACCAACGAGATGCTTTGTGGAATGCTCGAGTCTGGAAACAGTGAAAGGACAAAATCTCACAAACATTGAAACCGAAGCGTTTTTAGATTGCAAAGCGAAGGTTGTTAAAGCGTAAGTCCATGCTGTTTGTTGTTATGGTTTACTTTTTGTTCAAGAAAAACAGATGAGTAAGACACAAGATTGTTTAACATTTGTCGATTTGTTTTTTGATGAACTTAGTGTTAACGTAATTCTTGTCCAAGTCAAGACTCCATATCATTGCACCGCCAAGCTTGTGTTTGCAGACGTAGTCTGTTTTATATTTGAATGTCGTCTGATCATCAAACGAGAAGAACTGATCGCCAGAATATCCATACATCGTCATCGATTCAGGGTCGTACTGCACGTTGCTCGATGGAATTGCCGCATCTATCTCGTACTTTGCCAGATATCCATTCTCTCCTGTGCACTGTCCTGACCGACTCGCACCACTTGTGGGTGATCCCATCAAATGGTCATTTGCGAAGGTCAGTGTCCACCCTCTTCCATAATGAGCCATGCCAACGATCAACTTGTGAGGGGGGACTCCTTCGGTCAAATACGCTTGGACGCAGTCGTGGACACTCAGAGTGTCGTCTGCGTAAAGTGCTGTGTGCGACCCAGTGACTTCGTCCCAGGCGCCATGTAAATCGTACGTCATCAAATTTATCCAGTCGAGGTATGGGTGGAACTTAGACACCTCCAAATTCACGATGTTCTTTGGACCAGCTGGTGCTGCGATTGTAAGCAAAAGCCTCTTTCGATTTCCAGTCAGCTTTTCGGCATTGATGGCCTCTCTGAACTCTTTGAGTAACAAAGTGAAACTTTGTGTATCTACAGGACGTCCTCCTTGGTCTTCATTGGCTGGATACTCCCAGTCGATGTCAATTCCGTCCAAGTTGTACTTTCGTGCAAAGTCCATCGCGCTTTTGATAAATGTAGCCCGTGATGTTTGTTTCTCGGCCATCTCACTGAAAAGGTGTTTTGTCGATTCGAAAAAGTTGAAGTTCCACCCTCCAATCGACGCCAATACTTGTAGGTTTGGGTTTCGAGATTTCAACGCAACGATTTTGGGAATGTTTTGGTCGTCGTTCCACTCGTATTCCTTTACTGTATACGACGAATCGAACACGACAAACGCATAGTTGATCACGTCAACGATCGTCGGGTCGACATTTTCTGGTGTGAACTTGCACGCCCATCCATCAATTGACGCCCATCTATATTGCGCCCAATTTGTAAAGTAAGACACCATTTTCTTCTCAATGTTTTCTTCCGAGCTTTCTTCTTGTTCCGAGGAACTTTGTGGTTTCTCTGATGACTCCTCGGGTTTTGGCTCTTCTGAAGATTCTGGTTTTTGTGGTTCGCTCGAGCTTTCTTCTGGTGGTTCAGGTGGTTTTGATGAACTTTCTGGTGTTGGCTCTTCTGAAGACTCTGGTTTTGGTGGCGCTGCCGACGAACTTTCGTCAGGCAAGTCTGGGGTTTCTGAGCTCTCGAAGTAATCTCCAGGTTTCAATGAGCAGTCTGGGAGATCTGTCCACGACCACACGCATGGGTTATATGCAGTCCGGCCACACTTACAGACTGTGGTTCCCTGGCACTTTGATTTCTGGCCTTGTTTTTGTCCATAACACCAGAGGTACGATGTGTCGTCGATACAATAGAACCCATTATCAAGTCCTTCGCATGTTTGTGAATGCACACTCACAGTTTCCAATAACACAATAAACGCAAGTGCAAACATTTTCGCTTTGAAATTCTCGAGCTTTTTTACCCCTTAAATGTGCTTTCGTTCCGACACGCATATTAAAATTGAGGAATTTCGAAAAATGATAAAACGAGATTGAGATTTGAAAAATGAAAGCTTGTTTAAGCGTAGATCATGAACTAAAGAAGGTTGTAAGTCTTGAATTATTTAGTATTACAATACACGCTTGTAAAAATGGTTTAGACTTTATTTTTCAATATAAATAAAGATCAAAAAATAGAAACAAATTATAATCAATCAAAAAGTGAATTACATCGTCAAATTACACAAACCATTCAGAGCACTTTGTTGTATAAAACCGCACATTAACAGGACTGAACACCCCTCTTTGGTGAATTCTTGTACCCCGATCATCGTGATTTATGTTCTCGATTTTTTCCCAAGAGGTTTCTTCCCGTGTTTCGCTCTTAGTCTCGTTCTTGAGGCTTTTCTCATGAGAATTCACCCACTCAAATGGGTCGCACGAGACGTTGGTCTTAACTGAAACGACTTCAGTGAATATCTTCATGATGGCACTGTCAGCCCCTTTAATATCAACGAACGACTTTTGTGAACACCGACCAGACAAATTTCTTGAGAGGAGTGACTCGGTGATTCTCTTTCCAAAGATGACCAACCCGTCTCTTGTGAATGGGCCGACTTCTTTAAATATTTTAAGTTTCAGTGTTTTTACTGCTGTTGTCCGTTTTGCCAATTTGAACGTGTCTCCAGCAACAATTTTAGAAACCATATTAAATATCGAGACTTCTTTATCTCTGCGGACATTCTTGTCTGCCGAATTTTTTGGAAAGGTCGAAAGAAGGGTCTTAGATACTTCCACCCCATTGATACATGTGGACGCAATCGACAAATGAGCCAACGTGTTTTTCGACTTTTTGGAGGGAAGTTTGACAATCATGGAATGACCTAAGACGATGTAGAGGCCAATGATTGTTGCGTTGGAGAGTCTCTCGCGGTCGACGGACATGTTTCTGTTGATCGATTGTGTTGTGCTGCGCGTTGACATTTGTATCAGTGAATAAAGGATTCGGTGTTATACTTTTCGTGCTTGAAGGAATAAGTGATGAATTTATAAGAGAATAATAATAAATTAACAATGAATGGTAATTAAAACGAGTCCTATTTTCGAATTTTTTAATAGAACAAGTAATTTAATTAAAACAGTCAAAAAAGAAGTGAAAAGCTAAAATGTTTTGCGTTGTTTATTTTTAGATTAGCTGTTTTGAACTATATTAATATAAAACCAGTTCTAATAAGATGATTTTGTCCATCCGAATAGACCCACTGTTTACCTTGAAGTTCACTGACACTTTCTATTGATAATAACTTAAAAACATATTAAAATTGTCTAAGTGTTTTTTGATACCAAACTCTGTTATTGACAATTTTATATTGCTTTTTTGTTGTTGTATAATTATAATTCATGTTCGCAGTAATGGCCCGATTTCTTGTATTCATTTAATGTCAATGTGATTCAAAAAAAAAGTTTTTTCATATTAAAGAGAACTAATTATTAAAAAACAACAAATGGATCATTCATTATGAAGATAAAATGTCAAGCAGAACTAAAATGATGTATACACCTGTCTTGTTTAACATAAAATTTGACAAATAAAGCGAACATTAATTAAAGTTGACTTGTTTATTTTTAGTCCAAAAATGCTTCCATTTTGAAAGTAAAAAAAATATTTGCCTGTTTTTTTGCCCCATTTTGAACAACAAATTTTTTTTTGGACGTTCTAAAATAGAAGTGAAACCAAGTAGAAAGAGGAATAGCAATTTTGGGAAGAGCAAACCGATGGGAGTTAATTTCTGTTGTTTTTAAATGGAAGTTTTAAAAAAAACAAGCCAACAAAGCGCGCCATTTCCAACTTTTTATTCAACATGAAATCACTTACAATTATTTTTTAAATACCCATTATTAACAACCACTAAGACTATCTAGTAGTGCTCAAAAATTTTAAGATTTTACCAAAAAGCACATTTGTAAATAATTGTTTTTTATTTTACAACACTTTTGGAATTATTTCTCACTTCCTGATTTTTTAAACATAAAATGACTAATAATTTCTATTTCAACCAATTAGTTTGTGTTGTGGGATAGTTATAATTCATAGTTTTATTAAGTATTTTTTTAATATACCAAAAAAATGTTTTTAATCAAATAGCGATTTGTTGTTTGTAAATAATGAATTTGTTTTTAATAATTTATTGTTTTTAATAATAATAATGAAATATAGTTTTTTATAGCAATTTTTCACATTATAAAAAAAATTCAATTTTTTTTGGTAATTATTTTGAGATTTTTTGTTCTACTTTTCATAGCATACAAAACTATTGCCCATAGTTAGTTTAACCATTAAACTTATATGAAATCAATTGTTTAATTATGGTAAATATATTAGTAA